GGCCCGTGTTGCTGGTGTTGCGACGTCAAGTTGCTGGGCGAAATCGCCCCGTCTGAAGCGGGCCTTCGGCCCACTTGAGATTGGGGTGCCACTTCAGTGGTGCTTCCCATTATAAATTTAAGAAAACGGCTGGATTTCACTTCCCGATTAATCGGCAAATCAGCTTCGGTGGATATCCAATAAAACAATAGATCCTAGAGAGTCTATCGTGCCCTACGCCCGTTTTATTTGCAGTCTTGTTCAAGCCCAAACTTGAAAGATACTATAATCCTGAAATGTTAGACGAACTTTGTCCCTCCGACTGTCAATATTATCGACGTGAAGAATGAAGGATAGAAATAAACTAACATTTATCTAAGTCTGATGGGCAATAGAATCTGGCATTCAATCTGAATCAAACAAAAAAAAAAGTTTTAAGACGTTTTAGTCGAACCAAGGCTACTATTTCAACATATACCACTCCACTGCAGAAGTTGATCTCTTATCAACAATCTTAGATCAAAAAGAAACAAATTGCCGAAAATTCTGAAAGACCGCACACTTATAGGGCTCCCGACCCTATAAGTGCTTTCGCCATATTTGATGCTGTCTCAAGCGCAAGATTTCTACCTTCGATACACTTGGGCGTTCCTGAGAACGCGAGTCCAAAGCACGACGGAAGGTAACGGAGGCCATGTTCGAAAGTAGGTTAGACGACATATACGCTCGTGCTCTTAGCGCATCCAGTGTTTGCTCACACCTGCGAGCACAACGAGATGCCAATCGAAATGCGATCCAAACCAGCCCCAAATTTATCGGCGGAATACACCATTTTCAGAAGTGCTGCAGCGAAAGCTACAACCGCGAGCTAGCCCGCGCTCCTGGCTTTGACACATTCCTTTCTAGCGCAAGCGCTCGTTCTGCGGACGAACCTTTCAAAGCCAAGGTCTCGTGCTTCTGGCGTCGGCCGACGTTCTATAGACCTCTTTTCGTTTACTCTTGTCCCCAGCCACCTGGTAGGCATATCGGGTATGGGCGACGAAAAAATAAAACATTGTAACCTGCACACAGTAAAGAAATAGAGGGAAGGCAAAACGAGAATGGGTGACGATTACGCTTATATCCTATGTGTATTCTATTGGCGTGGCGACGGCAAAACAGTATTTTTGCCCATACTGGAAGTGACGATATTCAGGATGGCGGCGCCCTCGTGAAAAAGGACTAAACTCCGTTCACCCATAAGCTAATACTGCAGGCAAACCTAAAAGCGCGGGCTAGCACGCACGCGTTTAGCTTTGACGCGTGCCTTTCTAGCGCGAGCGCTTGAGACACGAATTCGCGTATGGTTGTTCGACGCAACATTGTTTCTAGTCAACCGGCCCTGGTCAACTTTCGCCGCTGAGCGCTTTCTTTCATAAAAACAAAAACTAGATTGAACATTCGACGGGTGTCGCGAGCCACCGACCGATGCCTAGAACAGATCCGTACACCATCCAACCACGCTCTCTGAAACAACTCGATTTTTCGTTTCTTAATAGCGAAGCGCCTCGAGCACCCCGTTCCGCACACTGCGGACCACGCGTGATTTCGGAGGCCACTTTCGCGGAGGCCCGCGCGGGGCGAGCAAGATGAGCAGGCCGCGCGCAGAAGCGCCGCTCCGAGCAAGGGTCCGCCGCGGCGACGTCCGCGAGGCTGCGCGTGAGAACTGTACCAGGAAGCGCGCCGGCGAGACACCGTCCAAACCGGTCCGCTCTCGCCGTGCCCTTGACGGCAGCCGCCGGAGGCGCTGGTCGCACGGGCGCCGGGCACTGCGACCGCGGCTTGGGCAGCACGTCCAGACACCGCTCGAAAAGGGCTTGGCTAGAGCAGGGGGTCTCTGCCCCGGACGCTAAGGGACGACCGAATGAACTCCGACAACATGCTGAGCCCGAGACTGCGCGAGAAGGAAGGACCGACATTCCGTTGCGCGTCTGCGTGCCTTTTCCGAGCCACGGCATGGAGAGCAACGTGTGCAACGACCACTAAGGCAGCTCGAAACTGGTCCTACCTTCGGGCGCTGAGCACTCCCAAAGGACAGGCGCCCGGAGTTTGGCGGACAGCGCTTTCTCGAAAGGCCGTTCGCCACCCTTTAAAGCCGGCCAGAGAAACTGGCGGGTCCGGACGGTCCGCGCGCACTTTGGGAGCAGCGTTTTCTCGCATCTGGGTCAGGCAGCGTCGGGGTGAGCGAAGATCGCGTCCTCGGCATCGACCCCTGGCGAGGTCGCCAATTACGCATGCTAATTGGCCGAACAGGTCGGACGGAGAGAGACGGCCCTTCCGCTCGCAGCGCGCCCGGCGGCCCCCACCGGCACATTCCGTCCGGGGGGAACGCGACCGGGAGTCCGCAACAGGTTCCTCGGCAGAGCCCTCGGGGAGCCCGTGGACGGTCGCGAACGACAGCGACGACCTTGGCCCGCCCGCGTACCCACGCGCGTCCACCGCGCACCTCTGCCGAGACGACGCCGTCGTTCCCGACGCCCAGATCCGACGTCCGGGGAGTGCCGTGCGGCGTCCCCGTCGTTGTCGCGGCCCTTCGGGGGCCCGGCGGGAGGCAACCGAAGACCCGACCTCTCCCGAGACGTCCCCGACACGGGAGTCGTCTGCGGGCCGCGAGAACCCCGCTGGGGGCGCCGCAACAAAGGGCGTGCCTGCGCGGCGGGACGGCCGTCCAGCGGGCAAGTCGTCCTCGAGAACTGGCCGGTTCGCATCCATTAACCTGATTCCGGGCGAGATCGTGCATCCCCGGCCGAGGAAGCGCTACACGCGGAGCGGGCGAAGCCGACAAGCTCCGCGCTTGCGAAACCCCCCGGCAGCCCTGGAAGCAGGCCGACTCGCTTCCCAAATCCAGCCGAGGACCGCCGCTTTCCGCGTCGCCATTGGCCGGCCCGGGGACGTGAGCGGGCCGCCGATCGCGGAGCTTCGGCGGCCTCCCCACGCGCTCGCCAACGGCGCGCGCCACCACGAAATAAATGCTCAACCTAGGCGTGCGAGACTCGCGAATGGCACCGGAGATGTGGACGACATGAACCTCGAACGCAACAACAGGGTCGACGGCACCAACCACGTCCTCCTTCCTAGTAACGACCCGTTCGAGCACATGGCGCAGCGCTAACTTGGAGCTGGAAACAGCGCCCGGTTGAGCGCCCATGAAGCCCGAGCTCAGCACCGATGCACCGACTGACGTCTCCATCTCTTAGCGCAATATCCAGTTACTGATCTAGCAGAAGCGACTGGCTTCAGTGGCGTCGTCTCGTGTTTCGTGCCCGGGAGGTTGCGAAGATGTGTCGGGGGTATGGTTCCGGTCACTTATTCCAATTTGAGAACAACGCGAATGGGGCGATATGTTTGAAGGCCTGGGGATCTCATAAAATTTATTTTCACGGAATGAACACCGGGACGAGGAAATTAAAATAGCGGAGGACGCGGCTTCCTAACCAGCACACCCACACACTGTCTTCGCGGAACTGAACCGACTGAACTCGCTGCAGAGTTGAACCGCGGTTTTGCAACGAGGGAAGAGGAGTCTTAGCGGGCAAAATGCTGCACTTTAAGGACAGCACTGAATTCGGCACTAAAAAAGAAAGGGTAGATTCAGCGGTACGCTGCATGTGCGCACCGGCCTTTTAGGGACTGAGGGACGACTCACTCCGAGGTCCATTATTCTCCCATCCCGGAGTCCAAGCCCTGAGCTGACAGCCTCGTTAGACCGACCGGACGTTGCGTGTGCAGAGCTCTTCGGGAGCCCCAATGGCTCCGGCGGCGGGGTCCGAGTGCCGGTGCTCGGGCCCCCCCGCACGAAAGGGCGCGCCCGCATTCCGGCACGCGGTGCACGTCGCGGCGGGTACAGGTAGACGCGGAAAGCGCGCCGCCCCCGTCGACGGGCGGTTCGCCGCGTGCATCGAGGTGCGCCTTGGAGTCCCGAAGGAGAGCAGGAAAGAAAGATGGCGGTCACCCAAGCATCACAGTTCCGCTCCACGCGGCCGCCAACCAGCCGATCAGGCCGGCCATCATTTATTCCCCCCACGCCCACGGGAAACGTACGGCTCTGGCGCACGTCGAACCCTCGCGCAGCGTCGAGCGCCACGCGCCGTCCGAGACCCGTCGCGACATCGGCCGGCGTGAGCACACCTGAAGCATGAAGCGGTGAACCCTTTCGGAGGGCCACGGCAGCTTCACGATCGGTCCAATCCGAAGGTCGGCATGCCAAAGGAACCGGAGACAACACGAGTCGTCCCCGGAGGGCACGGCACGGCTCACGCTTGAAGGCCACGATGTGCCTAAACGGTCGGCAGTCCGGCACCACTGCACACCGGTACAACTCCATACCAAGGCTAATCCTTCTCGGCCGCAGATAAGCCCCGTGGGACCGCGGAGTCACTGGCCGCAGGTATCGAGACGCGTGGCGTTAGGACGTGGGCGAAGGGAAAAAAAAGGATCCCGTAGCCGCGACCATCACCAATGACCCCCCCTCCCCCCCCCACCCCAAGGCCTTCGCACGGGCATCACGTGTTCCTCGGCTTCGCCAAGTGCCGACGTGGAGCCCGTACGATGAGCACTCACTTCATGGAGAGCCGATGGCAACCGGCGCTTTCGGACGCCCGGTGCCTCGGATCGGCCTCTCAGGTGGCACGCGCAATCGCACACACACACAAACACGGCAAAAGTGCACGGCGGGAGCTGACGCCGCCGGGCCCTGGGCGCATCGGCGCTGACTGACCACCGGTGACGGCGAGCTCGCGCGCCGGCAAGCGGCACGCAGCCGGCTTGCGACGCTCGGGAATTCGCCACGACCGCTCCTGGACCTGCCACGTTGTTGCCGGTGTCCGAAAAAACGGGTGGCGAAAGTTTGGCGCCTCCGTGCACAGTGACGCGTGTCCCACCACAAGCGTCGGCCCCGCGGCCGGGTGACACGGCGGAGGTAACAACGTGCCAGGATCGGGCAGCGGAACGCGGCGGTCGCTCCGGCTCCGGGTGACACTTACCTACTTCCGCAGAATCCGAGGCTAGTGCCACACACAGCAGCAGGCACAGGGTCTCCAAGAGGCGTTTATCCGAAAAGCCCATCTCGGCGGCCGCGCATCAGTTCATCCTGCAGCCGATGAGCAGATTCAAGACTGAGCGGCAACTCGGCGGATACCAGCTTGACTGGCCTCGGGGCGGCGTAGTGCGCCTGCGCGCCGCGTGGAGCGCCGCGCATGCGCGCCGCCGCCGCCGCCGCGCCGTCGCTCCCAACGTGCTCCCAACGTTGCCCGCTGTCGGTGAGTTGACCGGCAAGGGTTACTGGCCCCGCCGCTGGTGCGCGTCGCCGCCGAGCTTTGGCCGAGTTCGCCACCCTGCTCGGACTGGGGGGTTCGGAGAGGGTTCGGACGCCGGTGGGCCTGGTCGCCGGTCGCTCCACCTGTAAGCTAGTGGCCCAGGGAATTCGGGAGGCCGGACAACCGAGTCCTCGTTCGGACTACTGCCCTCTCCGCTGTCCGGACGGACACCAGCGGGACGACACGCGGCTGTCGCGGAGGCAGCGGTAGCGGCCCGAATCGAGCTTGGGCCGAAAGAATGGCCCGCTTTCCTCCTGCCCCCTGACCCGGCCCGAGCCGTGCCCATCTGTGTCATTCGTGGAAGCGCAACCAGATCTGTTCCTTGCCCGAACCGAATTCGTTGTTTGGATTTATGGTTTTGCACAAAAAAAAAAAAAAAAAAAAAAAAAAGACGGACACAAGAGAGACCTACAAAGAGTGAAGGGACACACTGCTGGAAAAAGGATGCAGTCAACACCGAGGAATGTGAGGCCTGAAGCGGTACCATACGTGCACAAACTCTCGCATAACCTCAAGAAGGTTGCGAACAGATATGGGGCGCCAATCGTATTTACAGCTCCTACAAAACTCGGCCAACTCTGCCCCCGCATTACTGGAGAAGGCAGACAGAAGCGAGGATGCAGCACAAAGCATGCCAGGCCGTTTGTTGGCTGCAAAACAGAAGTCGTCTATGAAATCCCGCTCAAGTGTGGGAAGACATACGTGGGGCAAACGGGGAGGTGTGCCAACGACCGTCTCAGGGAGCATGCTCAAAATTTAAAGACCAATGACGGGGAACATTTGCGTGCACACTGCAGAAACTGTGTGAGCCACGTTTTTCTGATACTGCAATTTTGGGTGGAAGTAAGGGACAAAAAGCACGTGAGCTGTTGGAAGCCTTCTTTATCAAAAAGAAAGGCGACCTATGTGTGAGCGATACCTCGATAAGTTTGTATATATGCTGAAAAACGCTTCCTTGATAAGTTTCTGTGACGAGCGTGTGATAGTGACACGACGCATGCGTGGACGCATTGAAGTCGAGGATATATCTGTATGTTTTCTAAAGGTTTCCTCAATACAGTTGTAAGTTGCGCTCGTGTTTGTTTCTCTCTCTCTTGTGTCCGTCTTTTTTGCGCAAAACCATGAATCCAAACGTTCACCAACTCGCCCAACAACAAACTATTTTACGAATTCGTTGTGCTGACACACGTGGTCCAAAGTGACCGGAGGCCCGATCCAGGCAGAGCCCTGGGACACCGGTTGTTTTATTGCTATGCACAGTGCGTGACACTGTTAGCGCGAACGTGACTGGCCTCGCACTCTTTTGACACCTAATGTATTTGAGGGGTGAGATCCCCGAGGAAAGTATGACGACACCACGAAAGACCGTCGCAGGCCCGCTAAATTTGTGTCAGGAAATGTCGAAAGAAATGGCATTTAAAAACGTTACGCGCAGGCCGAGGCAACATAAAGGATGCATAACCGGTGGAAGGCAATGCATATTAATCTGGATCATACAGAAGGCGTATTTGGTCATAATAATTCGTACAGAATCCTAACGGGGAGCAATTAATAGAAACCAGAGAGATTCACCAGGGAGCTTGGCAGGAATCGAACCCCGGACCATGCCATCCGCAGTCCAAATGTGCGGTGAGTCATACTTCGACCGCTACGATTCGACGGATGCAATCAAGCAGTGCCAAAAGTGCATCGTCACGTCGCTGGTTATCTTTATGGGTTTCGTATCACCGACTAAACCAATCACGCAGGAAATAAGCACCGGATCACGGAGACTTCATTGTACCTGATGGGTTCAGTCCAGGTGCCTTAAACTCGTCAAAGTTGGAGGCGAAAGTTCGCGGAGCGCGCCGACTGGATGCCGGCGACAAAAGCGAGAAGTCATCGTCGTGCTAAACCAGTTGGTGCTCTCCGTCAACTTCGGTCCCAGCTTTCTGTTTGACGAGCTTAGAGCCCCTGGGGCTCTAAACTCCCCAAACAGAAAGACTGTGTTACAAAATTTACTCGATCCGACTCCGGTGTAAAGGTTTTGTACAGTGGCGTTTCAATGACGTCAGAGCTCGCGTTCCAGAAGCGGGTTGTTTACGTCGGAGTAAATACTCCCGCTGCGCTCCTCAATCGGGGGGTAACGTCGGATAAAATCGAGTAAATATGTCACGTGATTTGTTCGCCGTCAGCTTTCTGCACTGACAGCCGTCAAAGCTCGCTTGCTCCGTTGGCTTTGGTGACGGACGTTCGAAATAACAAAGAATGAGTTGCAGCCATTTATGTGTGGTTATTGCGATTTGGTGCTTTCAATGCAGGAATTGACTGCATCACATGCAGACCGTGCACCTTCCCCGGGAAGGTATACTTGTTCTCATTATCAGACTGCGAGCGTAAACAGGAGCTTCTCCGCATCTACGGCGTTGGAGGGAATGCCGTATTCTCACGTTCAAGGCTGAAAATGTTCGGACGCACTAAATGCTGTGGAAGTATTTTTATTTCCCCCAGAGCGTGTGTAATGAGAGAGTAACACTTGTAAAAGCAGGGGAAGCTTCGAAGATTGCATGTAGTACATGATCAGTCAATAAACCCCTCCCCATCTCCATCTCCCTCCCTAAGAAATTATCTATAGCAGTTTGGAAGTTTTCTTTCTGATTTTGTCATCTTATTCGCGTCAAAGGGAACGTAAGTTACATATATCTGTTGAGAAAGCCTCCAGCGCTGTACCGCTACACCGTGTGGAAGCACTTCCTGCAAAACGTAATCGGTGCAAATTACGATGCATGGAACATAAGCGTTTAGAACACCTGGACTAGACTTACAGCCGATCGCGCTGATTAATAAAATCATAATTTTGATGTCTAACTGAAGGGAGTAATAATTTTGATCTCAATATAGAGTCCAAAAGGAAGGTGAGCAAAAGGAGATGGTGGAGCCACCTCAGAAAATACCGCGTCGTCATTAATATTATCGTTTCTTCGTGTGCTTTCTCCACGATCAAAAGAGATCGCCAGCTATTTTCTGCCATCGCTGCTGTTTTTTTTTAGCCCAAGACAAAGTCAATCTGCGTGGTATCCAAGTGATTATTCCGGCCGTTCCAAAATCGAGTCGCAGATCGTTTACTCGCGATGTCACGTGGTATTACCCAGGCTGTGTTCCAAATCTTACCCGAGTTACCTATCTCCCACGTCAGCGAATACCACGTGGCATCGCGCGTAAACGATCCTCGACTTGATTTTGGAACGGCCGGGATAATCCCCCTGGATACTACGCGGATTGGCTTGGTCTTGGGCTGCGGCAAAAAGAAAACACAGCAGCGATGACAGAAAATAGCAGACGATTCTTTTGATCACGGAGAAAGCACCCGAGATAGAGAGAGAGAGAGTAAACTTTATTGTGGAAATGGAGTGTTCCATATCCCAGCCCTAGTCCGGGCTTATGCGGTCGGGGCAGTCTCCGTCCCGTCCAGCACATTGCGAATGTGGTGGACAAGGGGGGGGGGGGGGGGGGGGGGGGCAGGGCACCACAGCCTTTGAAGTGCTGGCTAGAGGGAGAAGTCCATTACCCCCAGCTGCTTGGTATACGTTCAGGGGGTAGGTGCGAGAGTGATTGCTGTCGGCTTTGGTGAGATGCAATGCATTCCCAGAGCGTATGTTGGTTGGTTGGGTTGCCTCCGCAATGAGGGCAGGAGGGGAAGCCTGGCGTTTTGTGTATGTAGTGGATGTAGTTTTGGGTGAGGATAAAATTTGCCTGTGCTCTACGAATGAGGGTTGTTTCTTCTCTTGTGTGAGTTCGTGAGGGAGATGAGAGGAGAGTCGAGGCCTTGCGTCTTTCCTTTAGAATTTGTTGCCTGGCTTTGTGAAGGATTTTTCTTTCTTGTTTGGGGTCGTGTAAGTGAGGGGGCTACTCGGATTTGGTTCGCGGCTAAGCTGATGAGCTTGTGTGTTCCTTCTTGATGCCTGGTGTCCTGGGACCCACTGATTTCTAATTTGGAGTAGTAGGTGCTTGTGCATGTGATGTTGCAGCCGGGTCTGTATTGATGAAGAACGACGCGGTGTTTTCTGATGTGGATCCGCCAGCTCATTTTACTCACCTTCCTTTCGAGCGGTATATTGAGATCAAAATTACTTACTCCTTAACAGCTTGAAATCAGAAAATTTGATTTTATTCATATGCATATAAATGCATATATTCCATGCATTGTAATTTACACCAATTACGTTTTGCAGAAATTGCTTCTACACGGTGTAGCGGTACAGCGCAGGGTGCTGTCTCAAGAGTGATATGTAACTTACGTTCGCCCTCTCATTACAAACACTCTGGGGAAACAAAAATACCACCTTATCGTTTACTGCATTCGAACATTTTCAGCCTTGGACGTGAGATTACAGCATTCCCTCCAACGCCGAGGACAGGGATGCGGAGGAGGCTCCTGTTTACGCTCGCACACTGATAATAAGACAAGTTATTCGCGACTCCACTAGCTATGGGTGGCGCCACCCATTTTCCAAACTGGCGGTTATAGTGAGGGTCGGAGAAGCGTGCCGCTGTTGAGCCTGTCTAGTGTGCTGGCTTCACTGAGCGACACAATTATTTCTGGTAATACGAGGAAACTAGGGTGTTATGAGCGCAGGTCAACTCTTTATCCCGAGAACAAAAACGGTGTTTAGCGTAATATTTAGCCAGGAGGCACGTTTTAATTCTGGTGCGAAAACCGAAACTAAGCTCTATTTTGGATTTAATTTCGCGGTATAGGTCATCGATTTTGGATTCTTCCCTCAAGGTGTGTCTCACATCGTAATTATTTAGTTAGAGAAGTTGTTCGCGGAAACTTTATTTTGTGACATACA